CCCACCCACCCACAACAGCACCACTCCAAGGGCTCCATTGCTGACTTGACAGGTACCATTAGGGAAAACTTTCATACAATCCGAGAAATGACTTAACTGTAGAAAAACAAAAAAATTAGACTCAAGCAAGACCAGGTAAGTCTTCTACTAAATTAATAAAACACAAATACAGCTGATCTTAAACAGAAGTCAAGTTTAAATTAATGCAGAGTAATTTCTAGCTGATTACAATAAAGGGACAATTACATTGTCAGATTGAGATGTATTTGACCAGTCTCTAATATATAAATCACTTGTTCTTTTACTTGGTGCTTGGGTTCCTTTACTGTATATACTGAGCTCTTCTGGTGTGTTGTGATATCTTTCAGTGTCTTAGGTCTGTGGAATTCAATCTTACATAGTTTAAGATAACCTAATGTGTGGTGGCTTTTGTTTTTTACGTTACTCTGGTTTTTTAGTAACCCAAATTTAATAGATTAACTTGGTCCCTATTACATTGTAAAAACCAAGAAGTTTTTTATAACATTCTTATCTCTGCAATTGTGTATATATTCATTTACTTGAGGTGCATTACTATTTTATATTAAATGTTAAAATAGATCCTCACATTTTTAGGTGTATTGTATTCCCCTGTTACTAACTCTTGCTAAAAGTGTTCAACACAATGTTTACCCAAGCTTTTATTACTGTTAATTTGGTTGATTCCAATTTCACCTTTAACTATTTAAGCACAAATTTTAACAGCTTCTGTCTCCCTTTAACTTACCATCACAAAATAAAAATATATAAAATGAAACCAAGTATATATTTAAAATATAGGTTTATGCAAATACTCTGAAGGTATGAAACTTTCATGATGCTTTGTTGCTTTTGGCAGCCGAAGGAGTGGAAACCTGTCGAAATTTTTTGGTTAGTTTTATGCATAAATGGTTATTTTAAAACATTTTTATGTCCTTCTTACAAATGTATTTTAAAAATGAAAACAAGTTTATAAAAACCCAAACAAGAAATTTACATTTTATGATCTTAACCTTAAGGTTGAGGTTTATCCTTACATTTTTTTCTTTGAATTAAATAAATTCAAACCAAAAAAATAAACAAGACTAATTATGAAAAGATATAATTTTTTTTTTGCAATTGCATTATTTGTTGAGGCAAAAATGTTTTATAACTGAGTCCTTTTTGAATGTAAAAAGTTCTGGTTATACCTTAAGCATAATATTACTATAGTGTGATAGCACACTTTTAAAATCAGTGTGGTAACATTAGCCTGTTGAAACAAAATAAAAATAATAAAGTAATCACATTACACAATACACAACACAGGACAACATACATAACCTACAGGATAATTTGCAGTTAGAATTCTGGTGCAATTTGTTTTTATTTATAAATATACAAAATAAGGCAAACACAAATAAAACTGAAACATTCAAATGAACAAGTTATTACCTTATTTAAAACTTTAAATACATTAAGTAAATATCAGTTATAATAAATAACACAGAATTTTGCCTTACTTTATATTCAACTAGCTTATTTCTATACAGCAGTGGTGGGGTTTTATTTTGTGTTTTTTAGTGCCCATGTTTCAAATATTGGTTACTAGTTAGGGTTACATGCAGTGTGTGCATTTCTGTTGCTTGACAACAATATCTTCACTAAAGGGGGAGTAATTCCAGCTGTTGCATTCCTGAAGGGTTGAAATACTTAACTTACTGGATTGATATAAAACTTTTACCTTGTTTCCCTTTTTTGTTCTGTTTTCAATTGCTTTACTGTTTGGAGACATCTGTAAAAACTTTGTGGTTTTTAGAAAACAAAGAACAGAAGTGAGGAGAGGGATGGGGATTAAGAACAATTTAGGAAGATAGCAAGATCTGAGCCAAAAATAAAACTCTACAGATGTTTTAAGATAGAGACAACAGTAGCAAGTTCAGCAAAATGACAGGCTATAAAAGGAAAATATACGGATATGTAAAAAATATTGAGAAAGGAAAGTTGTATTTTTAGCTGAACATGGAGTGTGATACTGTGGATCAAATCAGCTGGGAACCTGCACTCTGGACTCTTATCCTGACTCTGAGAAGCTCTCTTGTAGAACCTGAATTGGTTCCCTCCAGTGTATGTTTGTGTACAAGCCAAATGGATTGCAGAGTGCCATTTTTTTCTGCAGTTAACTCTGTTTTGGGCATCTACATGTGTTAATGGTTTAATTCTGGGCGTTAACCCTACATAATATTGGATCTGTACTCTGAATTTTTTTATTAATTTCCCAGTGATCAAATCACAACTCCTGTCGTCCACTGTGCTCTGTGAACTGTTCCATTTCTCCCCACTCCCCCTTATCTGATTTTTCCAGTTCAGTGAAAGTATTTGCTACTCTTTCCTTCTGTGCACCTGTTCCATTCTAACAAGCACTAGTCTAGGTCACAGTTTCGTTTATCAGAACCTGGCTTTTAACATGTGGTGGTGGTTGCAAAGCAGTGGACCCTGTTCTGTCTTTTGCTAGGGCACCCTTTTCCATTTCTGTCCCCATTATTCAGACTCTGGGTAGCTACCTGAAGCCTGCTATTGACCACTAATATCTATAATGGGACAGCATTTCTCCCTCCTTTTTTAGGGGCCGGGGTATGTTTCTTACAGATGTTTCCAGTGTTTTATTCTGTTCCTGTGCTTGCTGTCTGGCTGGTTCTTTTAACTCTTTTGTTACTTACGTTGCCAGTTTTGTGGGGTGTTGTCTTAATGGTTTCATAGCCATAGTTATAGTAATAATATTCTATATTTCAGTCTCTACCCTAGCCTTACAAATTCCTTTCCACATTTCTTCCCAGCTTTATTTTTTAATTTCCTAGATACCTCTTTGCTGGCAACCCAGTATGTCCATGCCTTCTCAAGCAGTTCAGGGGCAAGCCAAGCAGAGATGACTCAGATGCATGAATGATTATATAAGACTCAGAACATTTCCAGCCTTTGTGGCTTTCTGGACATGGATATCTTTGCTACCCGGTTCAATACAAAATCCCAGTATTTTTCTTCAAGAGTAGGCTTGAATCAGTGATAGGTGCCCTTTGGTCTCTACTGTGGGGGCCAGTTTACTGTACACCTTGCATTCCTTCCCACTTACTGCTAAAGGTGGTGAAAAGGATATATCAAGACTTGGAAAATTGCTCTTGCCTGGCTGAGGTTGCGGTGGTAGAATATGGGAAAATCAGTTGTCCTCTTTATGCTGATGGTGTCTCTGGATTGCATTATTTAGATGCAAAAAATCATTGTTATACTATCAAGCCATGACTGAGGAGTTAATGATTCTTCCCAAACTTCACGTAGACATTGTATAGATTGGTTTGACAGAGTATAAGGAATCTTTTCTCTCCAACAGTGAGTCTTTACTACTAGAGCAGTTCCTACCTCCATAGGCTATGTTAGAGCTGATCCCATTGTAAAGCTGCCATTTTTGAAGTTCAATTCACATTTTCACTAAACTTTATGCTTTTAGTGATGAGTTGTGTTTTTTAATGCTTTTAATCCACCTACTCAGTTGGTTAGGGCAGTGCTTCAATTTCTGTTTAATTAGAACCTTGTGTCCCTCCATTCTTTTTGTTCAAATGTTGCTTACCAAACTGCCCTAGGAGTGGGAATATGCAGAGGGCATTCAAAGAAGGAATGAAAGTAACTGGAGTTCTTTCAAGGGATTCTGCATATTCATGCTCTCCACCCATCTTTCCCTGTTCTGAGTCCTAATTATGTAATATTACTGCACTCTGTCCTAGATGTGAAAAACTGAGCAGGTGCCAAAACACCATGCTTCCTTTTATAGTCACATCTTTGGAATATGCCTGAACTCTGAAGGGATCAGTAGGGGCATGTGAAAACTCCCCACTGTATTACCAAAAAGCTCCATTAGATGGCACATCATGAAAGTCAATATGCAGAAGCCATCTCAGATCTTGGGTTATAAGCAAGTAACGTACGTGTGTGTGTGTGTGTGTGTGTGTGTGTGTGTGTTCCCCCCCCCCCCCCCCAAAATAAAAGCATAAGTGTGTCCCCAGGATGTTATGCAGATTGAAATAAATTGCAGCTTGGGGAGCAGTAAACCCTGTTGGATGGATGACTGACACGAACAGACTTAATCTTATCTGACTTCTAAAAGTAAAACCGTTTGAGTCTGGCTAATGTGCAAATGGATAATTACTTGAGAACTCTTGCTATTCTAGAATTACGTTGCTACTTTGTGATAGTGGCTACTCTTAAGTATTTTTGCCTTGTGGATGAATAATGTGAGGGGCTCTAAGATATGGTTTTCATTTTTTTAATGGATTATCAGATACCTGTGATCTTGGTTGTCTTAAAATATGCCAAGATTAGGATAAAAAAGGCCATGGGTGGTAATGTGCATCAGACTGTATATGTCAACTTGAGAAACTTCTGCAATTCTCTTATCAATCTGCCTTGATAGAGGGATCTCAGGTAGTGCTGATCCAAAAGTAGCTAAACTTTCACAACATTTCATGAAAAAAATCTTACTAGGCCTCTGCCAAAACTTTGATCCAATGTAGGCTTTGAGCAGGTCCTGGATGGCATTGGAATCCTGTAAAGTCAGGAAGATAGTTGCTGAATCTGTCTAAAAATGCTTTCTTTCCTTGGCCTGGTTGGGGTCTGAGTGAGGCGCTGTGGAAAACACTGATGAAAATGCTCATTGATTAAAGCTATAAATCCACTGTCAACTGTTTTATATGTGCGTTTTGTTCAATATCTTGTCTATATTCATGTGATGTGATTTGATTTCACTCAAGTTTTGAACGGGAAGGGATTGTGCTCATAACAAATTTGAACGGCTCCCCTTTACCTGCTCAGAAAAGTGCAGATCTCTGTGCAAAATGAGTAGAGCCAAAATGCATTCTGGTTCTGCATAACTGGAAGTCCATTTGGGCCTTCAGTATCCCTTACTGTGAGAAATAGAAACTGGAATCAAGTATCCTTTTTTTTTTTATTTTTTTTTTTTTAAAGCTTGTAAGTAGGAATAAGTAGAACATGTGAACTGTAAAGGCTGGATTGTAACCACTTTTGTGAGTTCTCTTCTGGAACTCTCAAGTTTGGAAGGAAACATACCTGCCCACTGAAAGAATTAAAGCTAATGCTAAAATGTATCTATTCTAGGACGTGGTATTTATTCAAATGTTCTGGGATTTCTTGGTGGTGTTTCCTGGGCAATGCTGGTAGCAAGAACATGTCAGCTTTATCCAAATGCATTGGCATCTACTCTAGTTCACAAATTCTTCTTAATTTTTTCAAAATGGTAAGTAGAAACATTTTTCATAGTGCCAAAAAACCCTAATATTAACAAAGTTAACTAAAGCACCGTCTTGTCAAGCTAGTTCTACACTTGACTAGATTTGGGCTAAACTGTCTTTATTTTATATAATTTTAAAGAAAGCTTACTTATATGGATAAAACTAGACACCATAGTCATTTTTTCATCTCTTGTATAGGGAATGGCCAAATCCTGTGTTGCTCAAACAACCTGAAGATAGCAATCTAAATTTGCCTGTCTGGGATCCTAGGGTATGTAGATGATGTATCCTCTTGCTTAATATATGCTTAAATGCACTATAAATTAACTGGAACTATTCTAATGACACAGGTAAACCCATCCGACAGATATCATCTAATGCCCATAATCACGCCAGCTTATCCACAGCAGAACTCTACATATAACGTTTCTACTTCAACACGAGCAGTAATGGTAGAGGAGTTCAAGCAAGGTACGTTATTTCAAACCTTTTCATACGTGATATATAAAAAGCCAAAGTAAATAGATGCCAAGCAAAAATTCTCAGTTTTTCTCCCTTATAAAACAAATGTATGTTAGCCATACAGTCCTAGCTTTCATATAGCTCCTTCTCATATAAAGGTATCAAAGGATGTGGTATGCAAAAGCTGGGTAGAAATGTTAATGTGCTTACCTAGTCAGGTTAATGGTCTACAAAAATATAGCAGACTTACTTTTTCTTTCATTAAAAACCCCAAAACACAGGTCTTGCTGTCACAGATGAAATTCTTCAAGGAAAATCAGACTGGCCAAAACTCCTTGAACCACCAAACTTTTTTCAAAAGTACAAGTATGTATGAAATCCATCATCCAAAATATTTTGAATTACAATGCCACTGGAATATTTTGTGTGCGTGCGCTATCACTCATTTCCCTGGCTGGTGTGACTAGGTGCTATAATTTGCCATTTGCCTGTAGAGACTTAATTTTCTTTTTCCCTATTTTAGCCAATGAATTAGAATCCAGTAAAAGTAAAATGCAGGCTACTCTTCAGTAAAGGAATCGCTAACTTTTATACTTATATCAGAAATGCTTTCAGTACCTCTACTTGTGGCTTAAAATAGCTTGAAGAAAAGGAAGTTGAAAGAGGCCTATTTCCACGTAAATTGAAAGAGCTGAACTGTTACCCCATATTTCCTAAACATATAAAGCACAACTAAAAAATAGTAGTGTGGACGTGGGAAGCACTACAAAAATCCATATGGAGTGTACCCTGGAGCTTCATGTGTGTAGGACACCTACTCTACTTGCCTAAACCACACTCGTTCTATTGGGCCATGCAATGTCTGTACTCCAGCATGCTGCTAGACCCGGGGAAGTTGTTAACTTTTGGTGAGGGGGCCACTCCAAGATTTTGGAAAGTGGTCAAGGGCTGCATGTTTCTGTGAAGGGGATGCAGGGTCTAGGATGGAGGTTGGGTGCAGAAGAGTGCATTGGGTAAGGGACTGGGGTGCAGGAGACAGTGTGAGACCTCAGAGGGAGTTTGGGTGAAGGAAGGAGTTGTGACCAGGGTCGGGGATTGGAGTGTAGGGTCTGAGAGAAAGTATGGGTGCAGGAGAGAATTCTGGCCTGGGGAAAGGAGGGTATTGGAGGGGTTATTGGGTCTGGGAGGGCATTGTGACCTGGGTCAAGGGGGAGTGAAGATTGTTTGGGGGGTGACCTGGGGGGGAGAGTTGGGGTGCCAGAGGCAAGCTTTGTCTGGGAAGCACTTACCTAAGCATCTCCCGACCAACAGCCTTGCAGCACCCTCAAGGCAGGCTGGGCACCTTGCCTGCTGCGGCCCGAGATTGCTTAAAACTGAAGGCTGCTCCCTCCATGTGGCACTCAGGCCTGGGTGGGGGGAGCGGATTGCACTGTCCCTCTCCCCCCAAGCTAATCTCTCAGCTCCTATTGGCTGATTGTTTCCAGCCAATAGGAGCTGAAGACGGGGCTGGGGGCAGGAAGATCACACAAGCATCCCTTCCCTCTAGAGCAGAGGGGCACATTGAGCAGCCCTGTGCTTAAAACAGTGGCTGCTGAGTGGCTGAGGGTCTCAGCTGGGTGTTCCATGGGCCGGATCTGGTGTCTTGGCTGCATCCAGTCTGCCTGAGAGACCTATGTTGCCCACCCTGTCCAAGACACATTGGTGCCTGTCCCAATGGAAGAAAGCATTGGCTGTACATACCTGGAATTCTTCTAAGAGCCATTCTAGAACAATTAAAATATTCCATTGGCTTGGTGAAATTAAATTTTCACACTGTATTGTTATAGGATTGCACCTTAGTTAAAATGTAGTATAATGCTAGACAATGGATGATTAAGCAATTAAGGTACAAAATACATTAATGATCTAATGCAAGAGTAAATTGCACATGTATGTTTTGAGTTCAGTGAAATGGGATCACTTATTCTGTTTTCAGTTACATTTACAATGGGTAATTACGTATTTTCATAGCTTTGGTAAAATATGATTCATGACTGTTTGTCTAAGTCTTGGAATTATTGTACTAAGTTTTCTACTCTGAATTTGGGATCAGAGTTTAGTTGTCAGACGGGGGCTAACTATTTGTTTTTCAGGCATTATATTGTGTTGACTGCTAGTGCTTCTACCGAAGAGCATCATTTAGAATGGTAAGGTTTTTTTTAAATATGGGGGGGGGGGGGGGGGGCTTGTCTTCATATAATGAGGAAAATGGTAGAGTACCAAACTCTCTCCTTTGTTTAAAAAATATGCAGCTTGGAATTCCGAGGTATGGATGCTAAATATGGAAAAGCTTTCTATAATTCTCTTGGAAAAGGTAAATAAGTGTAGTTGTGACATGGTTTCTCAAAACACCACAAGCAGCAGTGAGCACTAGTAAGGTGAAACAGTATCCGTTAAAGTGCTATTTGGCAGTATGCAAGCAGAAGATATGCTGTCTGCATCGGCAATTAAACTTGCAATTAAACACAATTGGGAATCATAATGCATCAAGTGACCAATTAGTCATAAAAAATACTATTTTATGTGGTGGCAAATTTTAGCTGATCAGTAGTGATGGCCTCTGCAGAAGTGGATTAATGAGGAATTTGAAAGATGGTAGACATGCAATTTTTAGGGGTGGAGGCATGGGTTTTTTTTGTTTTTTTTTTTCGTTTGTTTGTTTTTCTTTTGGGCCGGGGGTAAACCTTGCTCCTATGTGAAAAGCTCCCTTGTTCTTGGCAATTCTGAAGCAAGTGGAGTTCTTAGTGTATGCAGCTGCATGATTACTGCTATGAAAGTGGTTTTCATATCTTGCCAAATGTAAGGTTTCTCCTTACACCTAGGCTACGTCTACACTGGCCCCTTTTCCAAAAGGGGCATGCTAATTTTCAACTTCAGAATAGGGAAATCCGTGGGGGATTTAAATATCCCCGTGGGATTTAAATAAAGATGTCCGCCGCTTTTTTCCGGCTTGGGGAAAAGCCGGAAAAAAGCGTCTAGACTGGCCCGATCCTCCGGAATAAAGCCCTATTCCGGAGGATCTCTTCATCCTACTTTGATGTGTACTTTGAAGTAGGAATAAGAGATCCTCCAGAAAAGGGCTTTATTCCGGAGAATCGGGCCAGTCTAGACGCTTTTTTCCGGCTTTTCCCCAAGCCGGAAAAAAGCAGCGGACATCTTTATTTAAATCCCACGGGGGATATTTAAATCCCCCGCGGATTTCCCTATTCTGAAGTTGAAAATTAGCATGCCCCTTTCGGAAAAGGGGCCAGTGTAGACGTAGCCCTACAGTTCAGAAGAAAATAGTATGCTGAGGCTTTCAACTAAGAGTCACTCTGACTTTTCAGTAGTTATAATATCAACACTTTAGGACTTGGGGAAATAGTTGATTATTGAAATATGTGTTCTAGATGTTGGATCTCGTTTCCGAGGCTGCGAGTTTAAACGCTGATATGACGACTGCCATTTTTCCTGTAGAAGCCACTGGCCAATAACATTGCCTTCTATTCAGTGCTAAAAGCAGTCAGGAGGCAAAAACCATTTTCCACAGCCTTTTAAAAGTTAATGGCTACACAGCTATCCGCTTTAAATTAATCTGCGAGACTCAATGCAAAAACATTATTTCAGAATAGCAACTGAAGGAGCAGAATTGGCTGGCACCACTTCTAGCCAATTTCTATTTGTTCTAATGAAATGTATTCATAAGTTTATTTACCTTACTGTGTGTTGCAACACCCAGGTAATAAGTACATATTTCAAAATAACCTCCTATTTGTTTTGAAACTAACCATCCAAATGTGCTCATTTCAATTGAACAATATGATATTAAATACCAATAATTTTAAGGCCAATAATATGTATTATGTCAAATAGCTATGTTAAGCATTCATTTTTGTTCCTGAAATGGTGAGCTTAACCAAGTTAAGACTGCATGTAACAGTTAATGGGGGCATTCTGCTAGCAGCTCCATAGGTAATGGGTTTTTAATAGTGCATAAATCTTACTACAGCTCTAAACATAAATGGCTTTTTGGTGCAAAACTGTTTTTTAGATTTTATTTTATTTTTTAATTAGTCTGGGTAACCATGGCTTTTTCCCATTTTTAATTAGAAGGATTTGAAATTTGGCTCTGGTTTTCCTGGGCAATCCACTGGCAACTTTCTCATTATGAAATGCAGGCTTGTTAGCATGCACACTTAGCTAAACAGTCAAACGTATACCACCATTAATCCACAGACTCTGCTCTCCACAACCTTACATTCTCTCTCAGACTTTACTTCACCATCCTGTTCTTCTGGTGTTGTAATACACTAGAAGGGGATAACTCAACAGAGCTGATGAAAGGTAGGCATTTTTGGGGGGGGAAGAGTTATAGTGCAAGTAGTTGTGGTGATGGTAAAATGTCTGGGTATGAACGGGATGTGTACTGTTACGTTGCCTTATTCATTTGTTTTTGTGATTTGAGTCAGGTGTCAGTTCAACAACCTTAACTATCGAATACTTTTGTGTGTGTTGTTGTAAATTATTCCTGCCTACATTGTCCTTAATACTTCTTTACGTGATATCATGAATTCAATTTTTTTAATGTTTTAAATGGACTGATTCATGCTAGTTAAAATACTAAAGAAAACAGAAAAAAATTGTAAATTAACATCTTTCTTTGACTTAATGCCATAAGAACTTCCAATGAGAAGATACTACAATTCAGGCCTTCAAGTTATTCTGGAACATACTTAATATTATGTTGGTTTATCTTGCCCTTTTCGTGCTTCTAGACTTTTTTCTCTTGGTTTGGAGAAGGAGGCATTCTCCCTACCCTTTCACTTGGATAGACTGCTAGAGCTGTCTGGGAAAGTGTGAAACAAGAATTTGTTGGTGAAATCTAAACATTTTTGGTTAAACTTTAGGTGAGGTTCTGATGGAACCCAGGAGAGGCTCTGACAGAATACCCATGTACCACTTCTTTCCCTTTTTATGGGGAATTCTGCAATTTTTGTTTACATTCCAAATCAGAACACATTCACGTTTCAGAATCTCTAAATACTCCAAGAACAGAACTACCTTTCTCTACTTAGCTATAGTAAGAATTCTGCTCTTCTTCCTAGGTCTGGAGTACAATTCTCAAAACGCAATTACAATAACCTTTCCAAAAACACTTTTGCTTCATATTGACTTCTTTCTGCCCACCTACCACCCAGCCAACCAATGTTATAACTTGTAACCTAGTATCTTGATCCTACAACTCGATGCCATAAGCTAGAATGGGAATGGCCATATTTTAACTCCTTTATAGGATAATTAATGGCTATCATGAACTTGTGCCAACCTTTTTAGCCTTATAAAGAAATTTTCTAAAGGAACTTCTGGTCCTAAATTAAAACAAATTTTGAGATCCAGCCTTGAGTTGCTGTATTTAAATTCCATTTAGCTACTGGTCATGCTGGGTTGATTGGACTGGTGCCTTAACATTTAAAAAGTGTATAAGTGGTAATTAGAACTATTGTATTGTGCCTGCCTCGGGAAAACCAAACTAATTTAATACTTGCTCTTTTTATTAGGGTTGGTCTAGTTGAATCTAAAATTCGTGTACTTGTTGGGAACTTGGAGAGAAATGAATTTATAATCCTTGCACACGTTAATCCTCAGTCTTTCCCTGGCAACAAGGAACATTACAAAGAGTAAGCTAAATTGTGTGTGTGTTTTTGAAGTCTAAGAATGTGGTTGTTTAGTCACTAAAATGTACAGAAGACTAGCAGATTTCAGTTATTCTAGATACCTCCACATGCATTCTTGAAAGGCATTTCAAGCTAATCAAACACTACTTCACAGCTGTGTCTCCAAGAGAAGGCATTCTAGATATGCCATAATATTTAAGAATGAAATATTGTACCTCTGGCTAGCATACTAAAACAATTTATGCAATAAGTAGAAATTAAATCAAACTCTGTAGTGCAAATGAACAGCTAAATGTAGATTAGTTTATTTAATCCACTTCCTGAAGCTAAATTGACATCCAAATAGAACTGACACATACACACAAATGAGACGTGATTTGATTGGTGTGTTTTTGTTTAGGAGCAACTATGTATCAATGTGGTTCCTTGGAATAATTTTTAGGAAAATGGAAAATGCTGAAAGTATTAACATTGACTTAACATATGATATACAGTCATTCACAGATACGGGTAAGCTTATATTTCTCTTTTTAGACTTGGTATGGTTTTTAATTTGATTTACGATTATTTTATTATATTATATGGATATAGTTATGGTGAAGGTCTAGTTGCAGAGCATGTGGATGTTTAATCTTAAAATGGTAAACGTAGTATTTTTGACAACAAAACAGATTCTTTATTTGGCAGTGTACCTGCTATAGCCACACAATAGCATTACTTATCAGATACAAACCATATTAGGAACATTGTGAGGACTCTTAACTGAAGCACTCTATAGTCTCTTACCCTAAAGAGCTCTCCTAAACTTGTACACATGACACTTCTTCAATCAGGCATATGCTAGAAAAAGTCAGTAAAGTCAGAGCCACCTGTAAAACAATTAAAATACATGTTCTGTCCAGCACAGGGAGTAATGGGAGAAGAGCTAAAACTCGAGCAGAATCATAAATATGTGCATCTCTTCTCTGGCATGGTGAGCAGCTAGCTCAGTCATGTGAACTATACATTTGCTAAGCCAACATAAGAACGGCCGTACTGGGTCAGACCAAAGGTCCATCTAGCCCAGTATCCTGTCTACCGACAGTGGCCAGCACCAGGTGCCCCAGAGAGGGTGGACCGAAGACAAATATCAAGTGATTTGTCTCCTGCCATCCCTCTCCAGCCTCTGACAAACAGAGGCCAAGGACACCATTTTATCCCCTGGCTAATAGCCTTTTATGGACCTAACCGCCATGAATTTATCCAGCTTCTCTTTAAACTCTATTAGTCCTAGCCTTCACAGCCTTCTCTGGCAAGGAGTTCCACAGGTTGACTACACGCTGTGTGAAGAAGAACTTTCTTTTATTAGTTTTAAACCTGCTACCCATTAATTTCACTTGGTGTCCTCTAGTTCTTCTATTATGGGAACTAATAAATAATATTTCTTTATCAGCCCTCTCCATACCACTCATGATTTTATAGACCTCTATCATATCCCCCTCAGTCTCCTCTTTTCTAAACTGAAAAGTTCCAGTCGCTTTAACCTCTCCTCATATGGGACCCATTCCAAACCCCTAATCATTTTAGTTGCCCTTTTCTGAACCCTTTCCAAGGCCAAAATATCTTTTTTGAGGTGAGGAGACCACATCTGTACACAGTATTCAAGATGTGGGCGTACTATAGTTTTCTACAGGGGCAGTAAGATATTCTGGGTCTTATTTTCTATCCCTTTCCTAATAATTCCTAGCATCCTATTTGCCTTATTGACTGTCACTGCACACTGTGTGGAAGTTTTCAGAGAACTGTCCACGATAACTCCAAGATCTCTTTCCTGATTTGTCGTAGCCAAATTAGCCCCCATCATACTGTACATATAGTTGGGGTTATTTTTCCCGATGTGCATTACTTTACACTTATGCACATTAAATTTCATTTGCCATATTTCATAAATTTCATAGCTGTTGCAAGCATCTATTTCAAATTGCTGTCAAAGGCGGCATAGATATGGCTAGTCAGAGGCATGAGTTGGGGGACCCATAGTTAAGACCATCAACATTCGTGCTGTATGTAATTTGTAGTAGAAATTATAGCGTAGGAATTAGAGTATCAGCAATGGTGGATTAACCACTCCTAGGCCAATGGGGCTCATGCTTGGGCTGGGGGGGGAGGCAGAAAAATGGGCGCCACTGAACCCCAGCCTGCTCTGCCTGCCCAGTGCGCCTGCTTGAGGAGTGGGCACGGAGGATTACTCTGTCTGCCTAGCATTCCTGTAAATCCCTGCTCCTCACAGGAACATCAGGTGGATGGGGTGGGGTAAGTCACTGCACCCCAATCCCATTTCTCCAGTAGGAGCACTCAGGTTAGAGGGGGGACTACAGGCAGAAGGGATGGGGTAGGACCCCCATTTAGTCTGGCCCGGGGCCCCAAAAATGGTAATCTACTTCTGAGTAGCAGTCAAACTTTATAAAAATAGTTCAGAATGGTCAGTAATAGAATGCAATAACTCCTGTCCTAGTCTTGAAGCTAGACTGCACGTCAGAAAACATGGTCATGAACACTTGTATACTGGTAAGGGTATGAACGTTCTTTGAGTATTGGGTTACTGTGATGTTGCCAACACACCCTTTACTATTAGCTACTTGTAATATCCAACTACTGACTCTTCCCTTACCTTTCATTTGTGATGTATTGGAATCACTGAAGTGTAGATCTAAGTAGGAATTGGAAGGACTAGTCGACCATCTGATGAGCAAATGCTTATCAGATAGTCGACTAGTTCTCCCCTCCCTGCCCCCCCTTGCTGCCTCTATCAGAAAGAGGCAGTAAGGGGGGGAAGAAGAGCGGGTGCTTCAGAACAGCAGTGCCACGTGGAGCCTGGGCTCACCAGGGGCCCAGCTGACCCCAGGCTTCACATGGCACTGCCACTTTGGAACGCTGCATGGACCCCGGGGTCCCCAGCTGGCCTTAGGCTGCACATGGCATTTCAAAGCAGCAGCGCCGCATAGCATCTGGGATCAACTAGGGACTCTCCCGTTGTCATGCAATTTCTCTTACAGCTTGACGCTGTGCTCCCCACAGCATTTCAAAGTGGCAGTGCCCACAGGGAGCCTGGGGTCAGGTCTTGGGTGCTGACTCAGGGCTTCATGTGGGTGCTGCTGCTTTGAAATGTCGTGGGCAGCACAGACCTAGTGGGGGACTGCTTGAGTCCCAGCTGGTCCCGTGTTCCCCACAGCACTTTCACCTTTTGAAGTGTACGCTTCAAAGGCAAAAGCGCCCTTGTTGACTAATTGAATAGTTGATGCACATTGCATCAACTATTTGATTAGTCAGTTAATCAAAACTGAATATCCCTAAATCTAAAGGGACAAAGTTAATTTAATCCCACAATTTTTTTTATTTTTATTTTTACAAATTTCCAAGGCTACTATAGCTGAAAGACCATACTTTTTGTTTAGTTTGAGCATTTGATAGCTCATTGTATATATGTGGCTTTTACTGATTTTTCCCCCTCCCCCCCCCC